GGGATGGGGGGAAATCAGGGGGGGAAGGGGAAAATGGGGGGAAAACAGGGGAGGGAGGGGAATGAGGGGCTGGGGGGGATTGCAGGGGCCAAGCTGCAGGAGGAGGGGGAAGCTGGGGAGCAGCAGATTTAGGAAATGGGGTCCCTGGGGAGGGGAGCTGCTGCAGTTTGGGGGTGTTGGGAGAATGTGGGACCCAGCTCTGCCTCCCCCCGACCTGTGCCCCCCGGAGCAGTGACCCCAAGTCTCCCATCAGCCCCAGCCCCGATGTGTTCACCCCAGTCCTGGGGGTGGGAGGGGGAGAGAAGGGACAAGGAGGGGCAGGGAAGGGAAAGGAAAGGGGGGGGCCCAATGTAAAGAGATTTAAAATAAACCAAAGCCGGGTCTGGCAATGAAGACGCCGAGGCCTGGGACCGGGGGAATATACAGGTAATAATACTGCTCACATAGAAAAGTAATAATCCTTCATTTGTACATTTATACAGCGGCTCGTGGCCCCCCACCCCCGGCCCCCCCCGCCCGCCCCTGCGGCGGGGGCTGTGCCGGGCCCGGGCACCGCGGCCCCGCAGCCCCTCGCCCCCCGTGCCCCTATGCCAGGGGGTCTGCCAGGTCGTCGTCCCCCCGTGCCAGCAGCTCCCGCTTCTCGTCCGTGCTGGCCAGGGAGTTGCGGCTGTTGTGGGCGCCCATGTACAGCGTGGCATAAACCGGGTTGGTGAAGTTGGTGGGCTGCAGGGAGGGGGGAGAGGGTGAGAGGGGGCATGGACAGCCCCCACTGACCAGAACTGCCGTGCCATGGGGTGCTCCCCATCCTGGGGGGGACTTGGTGAGAGCCCCCACCAGCCCTGACCTCCTCCGGGGACATGGGGCAGCCCCAATGGCCCTGCCTGCAGCCTCCAGCCCCAAAGCCTTTGTGACCCCTCAGAGCACCCCCAGACCTAAAGCCTTTGTGACCCCTCAGAGCTCCCCCAGCCCCAAATCATTTGTCAATCCTTGGAGATCCCAGCCCCAAAACCTTTGCGACCCCTCAGAGCACCCCCAGCCCCAAAACATTTGTCAATCCTTGCAGACCCCAATCCCAAAACCCTTGAGACCCCTCAGAGCTCCCCAGCCCCAAAGCCATTGTGATCCCTCAGAGCCCCCCAGCCCCAAAACCTTTGTGACCCCTCAGAGCACCCCCAGCTCCAAAGCCTTTGCATTCCCTCAGACACCTCCAAGCCCTGAAGCCTTTGCAGTCCCTTGGAGTTTCCCCTTCTCCCACCCCAAAGCTTTTGTGAGTCTTTGGAGCCTTCCTCAGAGCATCCTCAGCCCCAAAACCTTTGTGAACATTCGGAGTCCCCCCCCCCAGCCCCAAAACCTCCAGCCCTAAACCTTTGTGGGCCTTCAGAGTCTTCACTGGCCCCAAAGCCACTGTCACCCCTTGGAGTTTCTCTAGTCCCAAAAAATTTGCAAACCCTTGGAGCCCACCTAGCCCCCAAAGCTTTGTGATCCCTCAAAACCTTTGCAACCTCTTGGAGTTCCCAGCCCTGAAGCCTCTGAGACCCTCAGAGCCCCACCAGCCCCAAAGCTTATTCAGTCCCTCAGGACTGCTGCACAGAGAGCCCTGACAGGCACAGCAATGTGCCCCCCACCCCAGCACGTGTCCCCCCTGCACCTCCCACTTTGGGCAGAGCCCACAGCCCCTCACCTTGTCAGGGTCCAGGGCAAAGTCGGCGTCCAGCAGCTCCCCCACGTCATCATCGGGCTCCCCCTCGTACATTTTGTAGGTGGGATTCCCAATTTCCACGTTCATGGCACCGTTTGTCATCCGCTGGTGCTGGAAGCCCTTGGCACTGAGGTGGGGGAGGCAGAGGGTCAGTGCCAGTGACCCCCCCCGGCTGTCCCCCACCCTCGAGGCTTTCACAGCCTCCCGTCCCCTCCATGCCACCAGACTGACCCTTTAATTCTCCACTTGTACCAGACAAAAGCCACCACGGTGAGGAGGATGAGCAGCAGCAGGATGGGGATGACGATGGAGGCTGTTCCTGCGGGAGGAAGGCACGGGAAGAGTCAGAGCCTGCGGAGGGGACAGTGCCCATACGGGGCAGCCTGGGCTGGCCCTGTCCCCCCTTCCACCGCAGAACAGGGTCAGGAGTCACACAGGGGCACAGGGACAGCCCTGGATCACCAACAAACCCCCCTGGGTGTGGCGTGGCACGGAAGGGGGGGTCCCACACCGCCCCCCACTTACGGCTGCTCTGCTGCTCGCCCACGATGAAATCCTCGCAGCGCGTGCCCGTCATCCCCGAGGGACACCTGGGAGCGCAGGGAGAGCACCGGGATTAGCGGGGCAGGGCCGTGCAGGGAGGGAGGGAGGGAGAGCTGGGCACAGACCTGGGGTCAGGCTGGGGCGGGGGCACACAGATCGCGGTGTGTCAGTGACGTCTCGGGGGGCAAACAGCCCCGCCTGTCCCCCCTCCCATGCCCCCCCGGCCCCCTCCTCTCTTACAGGCACTCGGGCAGCTGTGTCTTGTCGCTGATGGAGCAGGTCCCGCCGTGCAGGCAGTAATTGTCACAGGTCAGGCAGCTCGGTGCTATTTTCCCGTCAGGGCAGCTGTGGGGCACAGAGGATCAGTGCCATGGGTACCCCCGGCCGCCCTGTGCCCCTCCCGGGTGTTCTGTGCTCCCCCCAGCCCCTCAGGACTCAGCTGTTGGCTCATCCCACCCGCACAGCTCATGGCTGGGACACCAGGGTGGGTTTTGGGGACACACTGAGACACCTCCAGCTCCTCCTCCCAGGCCCACCAGGTCCCCTGGATTTATCTGCCCTGAATTACCAACCCAGCTATGGCTGATCCAGGTTTTCTCTGGGGTCTCTGTGCCCACCACCCCTTTTCCTCCCTCCAGCTCGACATCCCCAGCACTTACATGCAGGAGACCTCCCCGCTCTGCTTGTTGATGCTGCACTTGCCCTCCTGGCACCGGGAGCATTTGTTCTCCTGGCACTGGGCACCCTCAAACTGAGGGGGGCAGCGGCACTGCTTGGCACCGCTGGCTGTCATCTGGCACACACCATCATTCTCACAATAGTCGAAGCACTGCCCTGTAGGGGACAAGGGCGTCAGGGTGGGCAGCCCCTCAGCCGCCTCTCAGTCCCCCCATGGAGCACCACCCTGCCCCACACAGCATCCCACCAAAGAGGGGGATCTGAAAATCCAATCCCATGGGTGCTGTTCCCAGGGATTCCCCAAAAGAGGGCAACATGGGACCCCAACCCCTCATGCTGTTCCCAGGTATTTCCACACAGCATCCCCCAAAAGAGCCCAACCCTCTGGTACTGTCCTCAGAGGTCTCCCCCCGCCAGACACCCTCAAATGAGGGACACCCACCCTTCTGACCCCCACTGCTGTCCCCAGACAGCCTCAGGTGAGGGACACTCACTCTTCCTACACCCTCACTGCTGTCCCCGGACATCTCCAGGTGAGGGATACCCACCCTTCTGACCCCCACTGCTGTCCCCAGACACCCTTAGGTGAGGGACACCCATCCTCCTGACACCCTCACTGCTGTCCCCGGACATCTCCAGGTGAGGGACACCCATCCTCCCGACACCCTCACTGCTGTCCCCAGACACCCTTAGGTGAGGGACACCCACCCTTCCTACACCCTCACTGCTGTCCCCGGACATCTCCAGGTGAGGGACACCCATCCTCCCGACACCCCCATTGCTGTCCCCACCCCGTGGCACAGCAGGTGGCACTCACGGTACTGGCAGCGGTCCCCGATGAAGGTGGGCAGGCAGCGGCAGCTGGGCTGGTTGCCCTGGTTCACGGTGCAGCTGCCGTTGTGCTGGCAGTAATCCGTGCACACCTGCTGGTTGCACCGGGGCCCGGTGAAGCCGGTGGGGCAGCGGCAGGTTGGCATTCCTGGGGGTAAAACCAGTTAGCTCCGTGCCCACCTGTCCGTCTGTCCATCCGTCCTTGAGCCCCCCGGCTCACCTGAGGGGGAGGCGGCGCAGGTGCCCCCGTTCTGGCAGTAGTCCCAGCACTGGTCGATCTGGCACTTGTCCCCGTTGTAGCGCGGCTGGCAGCGGCACTTGGCCTGCTTGCGGGCGTTCAGGAAGCAGCTGCCGCCGTTCAGGCACACCAGGTCACACGTGTCCGTGGTGGGCACTGCGAGGGAGGCATGGAGGGCATGGAAATGAGCAGGACTGCGCTGGCAGGACCCTCCCTCCTCATCCTCATCCTCATCATCTCCTCCTCCGGTGTCACCTACCCACAGGGGACACGGTGGGCGAGGGAATGACCACGCAGGTGCCATTGTCCAGGCGTTTGCCGTTGGGGCAGGTGCACACGGGGCCGCTGGGGCTCAGCAGGCAGAGCCACTCGCACTTCTTGCGGTCACAAGGGTTGGTCACTGTGGGAGGGGAGGGTACAGGTGGTGAGGACAGCGAGGTGGTGACAGCATGGTGAGCCACAGCCCTTCTTGCTCCACAGCACCTCGAGGACATTCCTCTCCGCAGCCCTGTGCTGTCCCTCCCATGCCCTGAGGTCACCACCTGACCACTCACCTCTGCAGTTGGACTTCCCCAACCCACCCCACCAACCCTCTGCTCTGCCCACCCAGACACCCCCACTGTGGGCACGGAGCTGGGGGTCTGAGTCCCCTCTTCCCAAGCTCTGGCAATGCCCCCCTCACCATCTGCCACCTCACGTCAGGTATCAGTCCCTGGCACCTCCCTCCCACCCCAGGAGCAGGGTGGGGGTCCCAGGCCTGCACACACCCTCTGGCTGCTTGTACTGGTGGTAGAGCACGACGTCGGTGGCGTGGTTGAGGCCGGATGTCAGGTTGGTGACGGGCTTGTGCCCGAACTTGTGAATCTTGAAGATGCGGTTGTTGATGTAGGTGACACCATAGATGTAGTCCTCAAAGATGTCGATGCTGAACGGGTGGCTCAGCCCTGGGGAAGACAGGAGGGGACATGTGGAGGCAGGGATTTGGGGTGGGACTGAGGCCAGGGACCCCCTTGGGGCACCCCTTACCCTTCTTGTTGTCGATGGCCACGACGGGGTCGGTGCCGTTGAGCCGGATGCTGCCGATGACGGAGAGCTTGGCATCGGCCCAGTACAACCTCTCGTTGTGGTAGTCCACGGCCAGGCCTGAGAGGACACAGCCCCTGGTGAGCCCCCAGTCCACCCCAAGCCCCTCCTGACCAACTGACCCACAGAGCAGCCCCCCACCACCCCTACACCCTTCTGCCGTGGGGCTCTGAGTCCCCAGAACAACCCTCCCCAACATAAGTGGCTCAACATGTCCCCATCATGGCTTTTGCCCCTCTCCTGTCACCTGTCTCTCTCACCTGTTGGCCACTGGATGTTGTCCTGCACCAGGGTCTCCCGCAGTGTCCCATCCATGGCAGCCGTCTCGATCTTGGGGTGATTGCCCCAGTCTGACCAGTACATTGTTCTGTAAGGACACAGGCAGATCATTCCCAGGGGAACAGGACAGCCCAATGACCAAGGAGGAGAAACCCTCCCACACTGTCCCCACGGCATCCTGGAGTCACCAGGTAACTCCAGGTAACACAAGGTAACTCTGAGGCAACTCAAGAAGAGCTCCCTGTGTCAAAAATACAGACAATGACACTGGGACACATGGGTGGGCTTGTGGTGAGGGGAGTGTGGTGAGGGCTGGGCAGAGGCATGGCATGAAGGCTCAAGTCCCTCACCCTCGCAGTGGGTCAACCACGATGGCATGGGGCTCATCGATCATCCCCGAAATCAGCGTCTTGCGGTTCTCGCCCTTCATCTGCGCCACCTCGATGACGTCCCGCCCCGAGTCCGTCCAATAGATGTTCCCGGCCACCCAATCGATGGCGATTCCCCGTGGCATCTTCAGCCCTGAGATCTGTGTGGGGCAGAGTGGGGACAGGTGAGGGGGGTATGAAACCATCAGCCTGTTGGTCCCACGGTGCCCTGGCAGAGCTCGCTCACGTTCAGGTGTGTGACGCCGCCGTCGATCTGGCGCCGGTTGCGGTTGGAGGCGGTGGAGGCGGAGGAGGAGGCGGGCAGCTCCCGGTACGAGATCCGGCCCGTGTGCCAGTTGGTCCAGTAGATCTTGTTGCCCTTGACGTAGATGTCCATGGCATCGATGCGCACGTTTTCGTCGCCCTGGAAGGCTGGCTCGTAGGCAGAGTTGGGGTTGAAGGGGTACATGCTCCTGATCTTGTTGTCGTCTGCGATGTAGAGGATCTGGTGCTCGGAGCCTGCAGGGGAAGAGGAGAAGGAGAGGTTGGCATGGGCTGGATTGGGAACAGGAGCTCAGCCAGGAGTGGAGACTCAGCCAGGAACGGGGCTCAGCCCAGCTCCCTGGTGGGACAGGGACAGGGTCACTGGGAGGTCGTCATTGCCTTGGGGCTCACTCTGCCAGGGACAGACAGACTGATGGCACCAGCGGTACCAGAAAGGTGGGCAGAGCTGCAGGGGGTTGGAGGGAAGAAGAAAGGATTCCCACAGGAGCTCTGGGGCACATGGGGGTGCTGGGCACACACAGAACCCGTGTGGGTCTCTGTTCCCTCCTGACCTTCTGCCTTGCACATGTTGTCTGTCTTCATGAAGTTCTTGGCGCAGCTGCAGACATGGGAGCCCTTGGTGTTGTTGCAGAGCTGGGAGCAGGTCCCGAAGCGCAGGCACTCGTTGATGTCTGTGCAGAGGGAGATGGGATCAGGGGGAGACCTGGAAGGTGCCCCCACAGACCCCAACTCTGCCCCATGAACACCATTCCTGCCACCCCAGCCCTAGCCCAGCTGCGAAATCACATCTCTCTGGCAAAAACCAGTGCTGAACCCAACAGCCCAAGCCCTCTCCAGGAGCAGCGGGAAGTACCTTGGCAAAAATTTTTGTCCGGCACCTTCTGGAATCCTCTGCGGCAGGTGCAGTACGAGGCAGACTGGGACTGGATGCACTGGGCCTCATCCCCGCACATGGTGGTGTTGGTCATGCAGTCGTATGACTTGTGCTCTGCAGTGGGACGTGCTGTCACACGCGTGTCACAGCGAGTTCCCCAGCCCCCAGCGGGCCCCCGGCTCCCCACCCACCGTGGGAGCAGGATTCCTCATCGGAGCCGTCCCCGCAGTCATCGAAGAAGTTGCAGCGGAGGTTGGCACTGATGCACTTCTTGTTCCCACACAGGAACTCGTTCTTGTCCTGGCTGCAGCTCTTGGGCTTGGCCGTGGGTGACTCTGCGGGTGAGGGGCAGCAGCTGTGACCCCCATATCCTGGGCACCCATCCCCATGGGACCCTCTGGGAGCAGGCAGGGACTTGGGACCCTGCATCCAAACCCCGATTTTGGGAGGAAAGACTGGGCAAAGCCAACCCCAACACCTGGGCTGAACCCTGGGCTCTGGGAGGACCATCCCAAGGACCACAGTGACCACTGCAGGCTCAGGGCTGTGCCCACGGGCAGCCCCACTCACCGCAGTCCTTCTCATCCGTGTTATCTCCACAGTTGTCAATGCCGTCGCACTGTCGACCGATCCACAGACATACCCGGTCGTTCTTGCAGCGGAACGGTCTGTTGGGGGGACACTGGAATTTCACTGCACCAGCAAACAGAAACAAACGGTGACGGTGAAAGGAGACGCCGTAGCCAGGCTGTCACACATGTCACGAGCTGCTGCTCGGCCTCTGCCCGCTCTCCAGGGAGGGCTGTCCCACGCGGGCGAGCGGGCTCCGGAGGCTGAAGCAAAGAGACTGAAGCAAAGACAATCGCCCGGCTGCTGTGAGCCCTCTCCTCACCCAGTCCCAGCCCCCAAACCCCCTCCCCACCACCAGCTCCTCACCCTGCTCAGCCCCTCTGCAACTCCTTTCCCTCAAATGAAGTCACCTCCAGCCCCTCAGCCCCACTGGCCACCCCTCAGAGGAGCTGCCAGAGGTCCCCCCCAGACCCTCCTGTCCCCACAGTGGTGCCCCAGCTCCGGGACTGTCCCCCCATGCTGGGATATGGGAGGGCTCGGGGCAGAGGCACCGCAGGGTCACTCACAGCACTCCTCGGGATTTTCATCCGAGTTGTCCCCACAATCGTCCTCCCCATCACACTTCCAGGCCAGGGGCTTGCACAGGGTGTTGTTGCACTGGAACTCGTCCAGGGGACACGTGCGAACTGTGACAGTGCAGAGGGGACACGTCAGTGCCGTGCTGCCAAAACCCCGGCCTGGGGCTGCAATTCCAATTTCCAGCATGGACTGGGGGTCTCCAGGGCTTGTGTACATGTCCATGCACGCTCCAGGGTGGGGCAGAGAAGGGTGGACACACGCACAAAGCGGGGACACCGGTGACATGAGGGTAGGGAGGGGTGGACACACACACAGAGGAGCGCTCCCACTCGCAGTGGGGACACCGGTGACATGAGGGACGGGGGGACACCACCAGCCCCGAGGGACACACAGCTCTGCCATTACCCCCCGTGCCGCAGTTCTCCTCGTCGCTGCCGTCCATGCAGTCGGCATCGGCGTCGCAGCGCCAGCGCATGGGGATGCAGTGCCCGTTCTTGCACTGGAACTGGTCGAACTCACAGCGGGGGATGCAGTCTTTCTGCAAGTGACAGGTGAGGGACACACTCAGCAGGGACAGGGTGGCCATGGCAGGCTCCTGTTCTATTGCCACACTCAGGCTCTGAGCCCCAGGGCCACGGGCAGGGGCGCAGGGGGGGATGTGTCCCCCTCCCGTACCTCATCGGAGCCGTCGGCGCAGTCGTGGTCCCCGTCACATTTCCACCTGCCCGCGATGCAGCGGCCATTGGCACACGAGAACTCGCTCTCAGAGCAGGGCCGAGGTGCTGGGGACAGAGAACACAGGGTGTGCCCTGAGCGTGGGGACAGCTGTGAGGGCAGGGGGTGTCCTTGGGGGGGCACAGGCTGACACAGACACACGACTGGTGGCACTGGGAACAGGGGGTACAGGCAGAGCTGTGGGAGCTGCCAGAGGGGCACAGCTGGCATCACCTCCCAGCCCCTTTCCACTCCAGGGCTCCCAGCTGCCTGTGGGGGTTTTGGGGGGCACTGTGGCCACAGGGCCTGGCTGTCCCCCAGGTCACTCACTCTCCACAGGGCAGCACCAGCCCCACTGCTGCCCACCCCGGCTGCCCCCCAGGCAGGAGGAACTGCAGTGGTGCCCTGGCAGAGCCTCATCCCCGTCCCCCCTCACAGGCCATGGGGACAGACACCTGCTCACAGCTCACTGGCACAGCCAGTGCCAAATCCAGGAGGACGGCACATGGCACAGCCACCCACCTGGGATGGCTCTTGGGACCCTTCCCCTCCCCATGGCCCTGGAGTATTGGGGCACAGGGACCCTCTGGTCACGACACAGGACTGTGGGGGAAGAGGGGAACAGGGGGTGTCCAGGTGGAGCAGGGAGAGTCACGGTGGGGATGGGTTTTGGAGCCAAGACCAAGCCATGCACGGGTTGGACCCTCCTGGGCTGTGGCTCCATGGAGGGAGATGCTGATGCTGATGCTCAGTAAATCCACCTGCATTGTCCAGTCCCGACCCCTCTGCCCTCACCTAGAAATCACCTTCTTGGTTGATTTTAGAGAGACTGTACATGGAATTAAAAGATTTTGGCAGGAACCTACCTCTGAGCGCCCCATAACGACAGTGTGAAAATGGAGAAAAACATAAGATGAAGTGAAATGGCACAAACTCAAAAACACGACGGGAAATTAACAAAAAAAGAAAACAAAAGCTGCACTGCACCCTAAAGAGCTGCAGGATGACAGAGGGACCCAGTGGGCACTGTGGGATAGAAGAGGGTCTGGCAGCAGACCCTGGTGCCATCCCATGGGCAGCCTGAACCCCTCTGGGTGCTGTGGCGTGGGAGAGGGTCTGGCAGCAGACCCTGGTGCCATCCCACAGGCAGCCTGAACTCCTCTGGAGGGACAGATGCACAGTGGAGCCCTGGGAATGGTCCTGTCCATGAGGACCCTCGTGTTCCTTGGCTGCTCAGTGGGGCAGGTGCTGGCACACGAGCAGGAGCACACAGAGGGGCAACACTGAACTCTCTGCCCCAGCTCTGGGGATCAGCCACCTCCCCACGCACTGGCCCAGGCCTGAGGTTGTGACCTGGGTCCCTCCTGACAGCTCAGTGTGTCCCCACCGCCATCCCAGGTGACACTGCCAGGCAGGGGTGACACAGGGGGTGATGCTTGGTGGCAAAGCAGGACAAGGTGCTCTCGAGTGACCCCAGCCACGTGGACCCCCACACTGCTGCGGGGGGCGTGCTGGGGTCACCCCTTCCCTGTCACCCATCACCCTTGGGGTGTCTCCTTGGCACAGCCACCCCTGTGCAGGGCCAGGCTCTCCAGAGCCCTGGAGTCGGGGGTGTCCTGGCTGGGGGACACAGGAGAAGAAGAGGGGCTGGCGGGGGGCCCAAACCTGTCCCCTCTCCACTGCTCCACCCCGGGGACAGCACAGGCTGGGGGGTGGCACGTACTGCAGCTCTCCTCGTCAGAGTTGTCCCCGCAGTCGTTGTCGTAGTCACACTGCCAGCGCCCCGGCACACAGCGGTTGTTCTTGCAGCGGAACTGGTACGGCTCACACGTGCGCTCGTCTGGGGGGACAGCAGGGACAGGGACACGCTCAGCACTGCCCCAGAGGAGGGCATGGATGGGACAGGGACAGGGTCAGCACTGCCCCAGGGCATGGATGGGACAGGGACAGAGACAGGGGTCAGCACTGCCCTACATGAGGGCATGGATGGGACAGGGACAGGGGTCATTACTGCCCCAGGTAAGGGTATGGACAGGACAGGGACACAGTCAGCACTGCCCCAGGGCATGGATGGCACAGGGACAGGGGTCAGAACTGCCCCAGAAAAGGTGAGGGATGTGACAGGGACAAGTGTCAGCACCACCCCACACAAGGGGACAGGATGGGGACAGGGACAGGGGTCAGCACAAGGGGAAATACGGGACAGGGACAGGTGTGAGCACTCCACTGCATGAGGGGAGGGACAGGAACAGAGACAGGGAAAGGTATCAGCAGTGCCCAGAACAAGGGGAAGGAAGGGATGAGGATAGTGACAGGGGTCAGCACTGCCCCAAACAAAGGGATGGACAGGACAGGGACAGGGACAAGGACGAGAACAGTCACAGGGGTCAGCAGTGCCCTGCACAATGGGAGATATGGGATGGGGATGGAATCAGCACTGCTCCAAGTGAGGAGAGGACTGGGACAAGGACAGAGGTCAGCACTGCCCTGTATGACAGGAGGATGAGACAGGGACAGGTGTCAGCACTGCCCTGAACATGGGGAGGGACGGGACAGGACAGGGACAGGGATCAGCACTGCACTAAACATGGGGAGGGACAGGACAGGGACAGGGATCAGCACTGCCCTGCACCTCCCTCTGACCCAGCCCTGCCCACACCACTCAGAAGAGGAGCAGCTGGAACTCCTGGGGCACCGCAGAGGAGACAGCAGTGCCAGGCCAGCCTGTCCCTCAGGAACAGGGACACAAGATGACACTGGCTTGTCCCCACAGCCCCTGCTCACCGCATTCCTCCTTGGGCTCATCAGATCCATCCCCACAGTCGTCCTCCCCATCACATTTCCAGCGTGCTGGGATGCACCGGCCCGAGTCCTTGCACCGGAACTCATCCACACCACAGGTCATTTGGGCTGGAGGGGACAAAGTGGCACAGGCACAGGGCAGGGATCAGCACTGGTCAGGTGTGTGCTGCTCTCTGCAGGGCCCATAAACAGCCTGGAGCTGGGTGAGATCCCTCCCTCCCTCCCAAGCAGTTCTCCAGGGAGAAGTCAGGGGGAGGAGGATCCCAGCAGGACAGATCCAGGCAGAGCCACCAACAGCATCAGCCACTGCCCAAAGGGACTGAGCAGGGAATGAGGAGGGACTGAGGTGGAACTGAGCAGGGATTGAGCAGGGAATGAAGAGGGACTGAGGTAGAACTGAGCAGGGATTGAGCAGGGAATGAGGAGGGACTGAGGTAGAACTGAGCAGGGATTGAGCAGGGAATAAACAGAGAATAAGGAGGGACAAAGGAGGGACCAAGAAGGGACTGAGCAGGAACTGAGGAGGAACCTGCCACCGTGCCAGCACACAGAGGTGCCCAGTGTGGGCATTTTACACATGGCCAGAGCCCCGTGCCCACCCAGGTCCCTTACTGCAGTTGGCAGGTTCATCAGAGCCATCCACGCAGTCGTTGTCACGGTCACAGACCCAGACACGGGGGATGCAGCGCTTGGTGATGGCACACTGGAACTGGTTGGGGGCACAGGTCACCTCCGCTGCAGGAGGGAGAAGGGGTGTCAGGAAGGGCAGCAGGGCAGGCAGGGGCCAGAGAGTCCTTTCCCCAAAAACTAGAGAGAAATGTGTGGATGCTCCAGGGATCACAAGGGGCTGGTGTGCTCAGTGGAGAAGATGGAGCAGAGCCATAAAATGGCCCCAGAACACTCCAAGCTATGGGGGGACAGGGTAGAGGCCACCAGATCCCTCAGGCTAAGCCCAAATCCACTTCAAGGGATTTAAGGATTTAATTTCCACTAGGAAACAGCAGCATCTGTAGCGGGAACAGAGGGTCTGCAGAGACCAGGGGTATGGAGAAAGCCCTGGGACAACCCAGGGAGCCAAACACCCCAAGACACGGACCTGAGACCCTCAGTCTGGCCCACACTTGCTCCCACCTGACACCCTGAGCCCCCCACTCACGACAGTCCTTCTCGTCCTCGCCGTCCCCACAGTTGTCCTGCCCGTTGCAGCGGAAGATGCCGGGGATGCAGCGGTTGGTGTTGGTGCATTTGAACTGGCTGGGCAGGCACACGTGGATGTCTGGAAGAGGTGACACAGTCAGGGGGTGACAGGCTGCAGCTCCACGCTGTGGAGGCCTGGGGGTCACGAGGGGACACAGGGAACCTACCACAGTTGGCCTCGTCCGAGTTGTCCTGGCAGTCGTTGTCGCCGTCGCAGATGAAGGCGGGGTTGGTGCAGATCCCTGTGGAGCACTGGAACTGCCCTGGCCTGCACTTGAACTCAGCTGTGGGGTAACACAGGGCCACAGGTTTGCTCTGAGGAACATTTCTAGGGCAAACTTTAATCTCAAAGCCCTGCTTAACCCCTCTGGGGTCCTCTGCAGGGACCCAGCATCCAATTCTAGGCTCGGGCGCTGCTCCATGGGACAATCCCGACACAGGGACGGGTGTGCCCCACTGCTCCCTGAACCCCATTATTGAACTGACCCTCCCCTCCACAGGGCTGTCCCAACAGCCATGGGGTGCTGGGACATGGGGGGCTGTGCCAGCCCCTGGCACTCACGGCAATCCTCCGGCTCGTCCGACCGGTCCCCGCAGTCGTCCTCGGTGTCGCATTTCCACCAGAAAGGGATGCACTTGTCGTTCTTGCAGACAAACTGACAGAGAGAGAGAGGAGCTCGTGGGGTGGTTCAGGATGGAAAAGATTTCATCCCGAGTGAGCTCAGCCAAGGAAACTGGTCCTGTGCTGTCTCTTCCAGGTATTCCTAAATCCTGACCCAGAGCAAAGCCTTAACCCCACCCTGGGGTTTGAGGAGAGGGGCAGAAGAACATTCCAGAGCTGGAGGGTCTCTGGCTTCCCCGGACACCCCCAAACATGAAGTGCCACAGGAGGGAGGTGCCGCCTGCACCTACAGAAGACTGTGCTACAACCCAGCACCCCAGGGGAGATCACAGCAGGTGGGACATGGGCATGGAGAATTTCCAGGCAGGCAGGGACAGGAAGGGACAGACAGGCAGGGACTTACCTGGCTGGCTGTGCAGTTGGACACACAGGTTTTGCCATCGCTGCCCAGGTAGAAGTTGGTGGGACAGGCACACTTGTGCCCCCCACCTGGCGAGAGCAGGCACAGGTTGCTGCAGCCACCGTTGTTGGTCTTGCAGGGATGGTTGGGAACTGTGGAAAGCAGGGTGACAACAGCGAGTCAGACCAAGCTGGGGACCCTCAGGGGAGCAGCAGGACCCTTGTCACCCTGCTCCTGCACCCCCTGCCCAGCCTGGTGTCCCCCCAAGTCCCTTTCCAGCAGTGGCACCCCCAGGCCGTGCTCACCGTCGGGCTGGCGGTAGGGGTGGTAGATGTGGATGTCCATGGGCCGGTGCAAGGTGCTGATCAGCAGTGTCTTGTTGGCTCCTGTTGTCTTGTGGGCCCGGTTGATGGACTTGGTCTCCCAGTCGGTCCAGTAGATGAAATCCTCGAAGAGGGTGAGGGCGAAGATGTGTGGGATGTCCTGGCTCAGCACTGCGAGGGGAGCGGGCGCTCAGCGAGGGGCTGTGCCACGTTCCCCTCTCACAAGGAAGCACAGAAGAGCGGCCAGAGCTGGGCACTGCTCCCAGCAACCCTGGCTCCCACCCCAACACCTGACCCACAGCCTGGACCCCCCCAAGGTGCGCTGGCACTGCAGGTGCTCTCACCTGTGTGCCGGTTGGAGCCGTCCAGGCTGGCGAACTCGATGTAATCCTCGCGGGCATCGGCCCAGTAGATCCGGCTGTTGATGTAGTCCAGGGTGAGGCCATTGGGCCACGTGATCTTGGTGTCCACGATGACGCTGCGGTTGGTGCCGTCCATGCCAATCTTCCCAATCAGAGAGTGATCTCCCCAGTCTGTCCAGTAGAGGTAGCTGGGAATGAAACAGAAGAGCAGGGAGAGGCTGAGTTGGAAACCACAGAAATTCCTCCCTGTGAGGGTGATGAGGCCCTGGCACAGGGTGCCCAGAGAAGCTGTGGCTGCCCCTGGATCCCTGGAAGTGTCCAAGGTTGGATGGGGCTTGGAGCAACCTGGGAGAGTGGAAGGTGACTGCCCACAGCAGTGGGGTGGAACAAGATGGTCTTTAAGGGTCCTTCCGTCCCTGTGATAGATGGAGGTGCAAGGGCACAGCATAGAGAAAAGCATCCCGGTATCCCAGAGGCCAAAAGTGAAAGCTTCACCCCATCTCCCAACCTCTGGACTATGGCAAGATGACCACAGCCCCCTCTCCAGCACAGAGCAGCAGGTC